AAAAGACGAGATTTTTTAGGAAAAATTAGGGGAGCGGCAGTTTCAGTGCCTTACGTTTTACATTTCACGTTTCACCCACAATGTGGTATCATACTCAAACGCTTGAGTTGGGTAGGTGATCGCGTTCCGAGAGATCGGGATGAGGAAAGTCCGGACTCCGCAGGGCGGGATGCTGGGTAACCCCCAGGAGCGGCGACGCTATGGAAAGTGCAACAGAAAGCAGACTACAACGCCTCTGCGTTGTACAGGTGAAACGGTGCGGTAAAAGCGCACCAGTTCCGATGGAGACATCGGAAGCTCGGTAAACCCCATCTGGAGCAAGGTCAAATTGAGGAAGGTGCGCCCGTCTAGTCCTCAGGTTGGCTGCTTGAGGTTGATGGTAACATCAATCCTAGATGAATGATCACCGCCCTGATGCGCGAGAGCAATTCGGGGAACAGAAACCGGCTTATTCCCAACTCAAGCCCCTTTTTAAAAAGTCAAAGGCACCAGAAACCGAGTTTTTTCCCCGGTCACGGGATCCTCTCGGACTTGAAAACTCGGTTTCTTTTTACGCCTTGTACTCTTTTTTTCTATCAACCCCGCAGGTTGGGCTTCCTAGCCCGACTGCACCAATGAACCAATTATTTTCACGCATCACGCTTCAAGTTATCATCCATCAGGAGGAAGCCCCCCAATGGAACTGACAGATGAAGAACGTTTTAATTTAGAACGTAGGACGTATGATTGTGCTCCAACACTGACAGACAATCAGGTACTGGAGTTCTGCCAACAGGGTTTTCTCGTGCTGGAGGGGGTTGTGCCAGATGAGATTAACCGCAGGACATTCGCCTATCTCGAAGAGAACACCTATTATGAACCCGCTGAAATCCTCAAAGAGGATTGGTTCGTTGATAACGTGATACTCAATCCGCAGGCAGCCGGTGCTGTCCGGTCGTTACTCGGTAAAAACTTCGGCTTGCCGGTTATGATGAGTCAACATCGGGTCAAGTGCCCGATGTCAGGTCAGGGGTGGCATCGGGATGCTGGCTCCAAATGGGACCGGAACTGAATTATCTGCAAGTATTCTACTATCCGCAAGATACACCGGAAGCGTTCGGTCCCACTGAGGTCTTGCCCGGTTCACACCTCTTCAACGCGTCTGCGCGCTATATGGGACACTACGGTAATATTCGGGGAGCGGTGAAAACGACCGCGCCGGCGGGTTCAATCTTCATCACGTTTACTCGATCTGGCACCGGCGCTCCGCCTCGACAGCGGAAGGGATGCGCCACATGTTGAAATACAACTACTGGCGAACCGTAACGCCCGAACGGGATTGGATAATTGAACCTGACTTCGACTTTGACATTGCGGATTACGGTCCTAACCGTTTCCAAAGTGCTCACATGTTCTACTGGCTCTGTGGGAAGAAGGAGGAATTTCGTGGATTGGGGGGCAAGGGTGGCCCCTACGTTACGGTAGGGGACCCAACTACAAGCCTTACGGCGCACCGTCTGCACCACCGGGAGACTGGTAAAGATCCAGAATACAAAATTCATAGTCCCGAAGATAGGATGTTGACATTTATGTGAGGTGTGTCCATAGTTGTAGGGGCGAGGTTTCCTCGCCCGTCCTTGACAGAAAAATTCGGTCTCTTGGCAAAATTGCTTAATACAACGCGAGTGCTGTAGGTTGGGTTGAACGGGAACCGTAAAACCCAACACCAATGAACGAATGCACTAGTGAACCAATGAACCAATTGTTGTTTTCACGTTTCACGTTTGGTATGTATCACGGTTTCCATTTGATAAGAACACCGCCGTTGGGGTAATGACCGTATGCGGTCAGCACCGAACCATCGCCCATCGAAGTCGAATACAGGTGTCCGGAGACACACTCATACCACTGGGCAGGGTTGTTATACGACCAATCGTCAAGGATGTACATCCGGTCTAAATTCCACGTCTGACCGTGATCGTGGCTGATGAGGGCATCACAGCCGCGCTGATAGCTCGCCAATTTTCCGTCGCGGATATCTAACCGTTGGATGACGGTCATCACGAGATCATCGTTCGGGAGGCGGAGGAGATTGGCGTGCATCCGACCCGCTTCCAACAGATGCTCGACCGGCGACCACGTCGCCCCATCATCTTTGGAGATTGAGATACCTGTCCCCTCGAAGTTGTCGTAGTGATACTTAATGTATTTGCCAAGCATGTCAGTACGTATCGCGGCAATGATCCAACCGTTCGCAGCACGAACCATAGCACCTTCCCCACAGCCACGTTCATACGTCACCCCCTCGTAGGTATCCTGCCATTTCCACGCATCGGGCCAACTATGGTTTTCCCATGTCGCGCCACCATCGTTTGACCATCGAACACAACCGCAAATTGCTTTATCGAAACTGAAGTTGTCCGGAAACGTCTGACCCGTCCACCCAATCCGCGTGACGTGACCTTGAGCGTCGCGGTCTACAAGTGGATTGCCTTCAGAACAGAAGTCTTTCCCGTCCGGTGCCTTTGCCAACGGAATTCGTTCCGACCATGTGCGACCCATAGTCGTGGCTGAAACACAGCGACGAACCTTCCTCTGCCATCAGTCCGCCGTCATTATAACTGAGGAGTGCCACCCTCCAGATCGGTCAACATGACGGGACGACCATAGCCAATCGCCTGATAATCGCTCCATGTCGCCCCGCCATCCGCACTGATAGCGGCGACGGTCTCTTCACCGTTCTGAAAAGGTTGTGCGGTCAGTCTTTGCCGCTCCCAACAGCAAAATCTCGCCGTTATCCATCTTCGCCAGACCGAAGGGGACAACCTTGGCTTCGCCAAATCGTGGCAGAAACTGATATTCCGCCGGCTGCGACAGGTATCCACCCTTGCCATCTCCTACAAGCACCCGGTGCTCTTTCCAAGAAAATGTCTCAAGATTATCATTGGCTTTATCAATCATGAAAAACGCTCCCATCGCCGGTATCGGCGGCTGTTTTTGGTGTTTTTATCAGTGATATGTCAGTTGTGAGATATGTGCTGTCACCGGACTACGGTCCTGTTAACAAGGGAATGTAACAGATTGTAGAGATTTTTTCAAGTGCGAAACACGACGATTTTGCAATTGATTTGTGTTCTGGATTGTGCTATGATATTCGTGTTTGTCAGGGAGCAAGCGATGTGCGAGCTCTATCAGTTTTGGAAAATAGATTGACATGGGGCATCAACGGTGGATCGCACCACACAGAGGCATCGGGGACCGTTCCCGGTGCTTTTTTAATGAGGGAAACGAATTATGAATGGCGATGCAGTGAAGGGGCATGCAACACTCACCGAGGGACAGAAAGCCCATTTTGATGCCTTTGGCTTTCTCGTGCTGCGGGAGGCGTTCGCTGCGGAGGAGATGCAGAGGATTGATTGCGAGTACGATGAAATCATGACAGAAGCCCTGCCGGAGCAAGGATTAAATTACGAGGAGGCGCGAAGACTTTCTCGCAAGTTTGTCATTGATCCTGGATTTGCCGAAAGGCGACCGGCACTAAACGCGCTGCTCGATGATGCACGTATCAACCTGACACTCGAAGGATTGCTGGGACCAGGCTTCTATTACACAGGAAGTGATGGCAGCCTGCGTGTGGGGGATACGCTTTGGCATCCAGATCAAGGTTGGGACCCTAGCATCCCAAAAGGTAGGGACGACCCCGGCTTTGCTGCGGCGAGAGGGCACTATTACCCGGGGGTAAAAGTTGCCTTCTACCTCGATCCATTGGTAAAAGATGGAGGCTGCCTATCCGTGATTCCCGGCTCACATCGCAGTCCCTTGCATGAAGCATTGTGGTCGCTTCATTGCGACATCCCCGAACGAGGTCCTCAACTCGTAGCACAGCCCGGCGTCAATCAGTTTGGTATCCTCCCAAATGAGATTCCGTGTTTCTCCGTTGAGACCCAGCCGGGCGATGTCGTCTTCTTCAGTCACCAAACTTGGCATGCGTCATTCGGTGGGAAAACTGGACGTCGAATGTTCGCCCTCGGCTATAAGGCAAGACCGACAAACGAGATTGAACGTCAGTATTCACGAAGATTCTTATCCACAACGGCGTGTCGATCATTATAAGGTCATACCAAAATATCAGATATGGAGATCGACAATGCCAATTGATATTACGAGTGTGTGCAGAAATTCTGGACATCGGACACTGCATCCTACCGAGCCATTTTCCCCGAACGGCACTTGAAGAATGCCGTCAGGCATTTCAGCCGTTACTGGAAGATGTCGCCGCCCGTATCCCCGATGGCAACCGCGGATCCAATCGATGGGCGATTGGATTGCCCTTCGCGCCACCATTCTACCACTCCGCCTTCTTCAACGACGACACGGTGATCGAGATTGTCAGCCGCATCTTGGGCGAAGACATGCACATCTCCTATTACGGCACCGATACACCGATACAGGGATCAGAATATCAAAAAGTCCACGCAGACCTACCTTTTCTGTTCAAAGAGGAGCCAGCACATCGCCATCCGCCCGCGCTATTGTCCGTACGATTTACGTTCGTTGATATGACGCCGGAGAACGGACCCTTTGAAGTGGCAGAACGTACCCAACATCTACCCCGGACCGAGACGCTAGAGAGAGCCAATGCAGGCAAAATCCATCTTACGCCCTTGCTGCTTAAAGCCGGTGACGTGCTAATCACCGACCCACGTACCGTTCACCGTGGTACACCCAACCGCACCAATACATCCCGCCCTTTTGCCGTTATCGTCCACAATCGCCACTGGTACAACACCAGTAGGGAGCGACTGGAGGCAAACGAAGACACACCAATGTTGACCGAGTCGTTCTATCGTACGTTGTCGCCGCGGGAACAAGAACTGCTGCGAAAAGTCCCTAGGACACCTTCTGGCAGTGCCCTACCTCCGTAGGTGGGGCATCTTGCCCCACCACGATATGTCATGTTGCTCTGAATCCCGATCTTATCGGGGATGACTTTTCAAACAGACTCTAAAAGGCGAGACAATCTACAATTTTTTCTGCGTCTGCTGGGATAACGCCTTGAAATACTGCTGAATCAGTTCTCGATACTGAGGCGGAAGGCTTTCCCGATCCCCAGATCTGAGACTCGATTCAATTTGCTGTATAGTTTCTAGCAGCTTGGGGTCGAGTGGGGGTGCATCATCTCCGGTGGCAGTTGGCGTTTTAGCGACCTCACTCTTCCGTCTTTTGCTGACCTCTCGCTTCTGCAACGATTTGGAGCTTTCGAGCAGCCGTGTCAAGATTTCCCGTTGTTTATTCAGCACCTGTTGATTCAGGTTCCCTCTCTGAAGTTCCCCTTCTACTTCCCGCATCTCTTCAGAAACAGTGTTGAGATCGCCAAGCACTTCCGACAGCCTTTCCATCATATCTGCCACCCGTTCTGTGGCTTCCCGAATCATCTGCTGCTCATACGCCATCCGTTGGAGCATCTGCTCGTTGCTTGGCGTGCGCCCTTGTCTCCGCATCTGCTGGTTCAACTGCTGCGCCATTTCGTTCAGTTGCCCTTGACTTTGTGCCAGTTGTTCAAGTTGTTCCAGCATATTTTGCATCCCAGCTTCACCCATCTGCTGGTTCATCTGATCCATCGCTTCGAGCAGATCCGCAACCGCTTGATTGAGATCTGCCAATCCCTGCTTCTGGATCGGGACAGCGAGGTTCGGCTTCCGGTCTTCCAACGCTCGCGCAGAGCGTTCAAAGGCATCGGCAGCAGCGTTAAGCCGCCAAACAGTTTTGGGATCGATTTGCATCTGGTTCGTGCCTAACTCCCAAAGACGATCCGCCAGCAGGTTAAGTCCCGCTGCGAGTCCTAATTCACTTGCTGCCAGTCCCTGCAACTGCTTAACTTCACCCGGTAAATACTGTCCATGTCCAGATTGCAAAATTTCGTCGGTCCCCTCAATCGCTTCCTCATGGGTTCTTGAGAGATAAAGACCACTCCGCACCGCCCCGCGTATTGCAGTCAACGTCTCCTCTGCATTTCCACCTTCCATAAACTCCAGCGCGTTGTCCAATCCTTGATGTAGTTCGGTAAGTCCTTGCTGCGCCGCCGCCCCTGACTCCATTGCGCCCTGCATCTGATTACCACGCATCTGTTGGGTTGCAGATCGGAGGTCTTGCGCGATCCGTACATCTCGTGCGAATTGATTCAGCCGCTTGATTTCATCAGCAACCCGTTTGAGATTCTCTAATTCCGACATCTCCTCTCCGAGTTCAGCCAGTGCCTGATGGAGGTGTTCATCTCCTCTGTAATGCGCTCCTCTTGCTTGGCGAGTCCCTTGAGACGCTGATCTATATCTTGTGGATTACTTTGACTGTTCTGACTAGCTTGGTCAGCGAGATCTTCCAACTGTTCCATTAGACGTTCTTGGCGTTCAGCGAGTTCCTTCGTCTGATTTACTGCTGCTTCTAGCTTCTGCTGAATGATCATCTGTTTATAGAGATCTTTCAGTCGATCAAGCTGCTGAAGAAACCGTTCTTGGTTAAAGTTTGCTTCCATCAACTTCTGCTCCTGCTCGGATAGCTCCTGCATCTCTAACGCTTCAGCTAACTTGCGTAACAACTCCTTGTGCTCCTCCGAGAGAGCCTGATCCATCAACTCTTGCAACTCCTGAAACTTCTCAACCGTCTGCATATCGAACAGTTGTTGCTTCTCCATCTGCTCAGTGGTTTGCTTCATCTCCTCGAACAGATCTTTCGCTGTTTTCTCAATCTCTTTCTGGTTTTTGAGCACCCGCTCCATCAGTTTCTCATCTTTCAGGGTTAGTTCTTGGCTCTTCCGTATCTTGTCTAGCAGCTCATCAATTATCGCGGTTTGCTCTGCCTGAGCATCGTACAATGCCTCAAGACCTTGCATCTCCGCTTCCTGCTCAGATTCGACCGCATCGTAAAGTTCCGCTAGGGTGGGAAAACGGATCGAATAGATATTGGATTTGCCGATGTTGGGCCCAGAAACATTATCCGCATCAATTGCTTCAGCATGGTAAGAGATTATGTCCCCCGGATACAGCCCAATCGGATCAATGTCCCAAGGAAATTCGATAAAGACTGGCGTATCCGTTGGATTCCACGTTTTCAAAGGCACCACTACGTCATCGTCTGTGCTTTCAACCCGATAAACAAGTTGAATATTCTGCACACCGTAGTCATCTTTTGCATCGAGTTGCAGAGAAACAATCATCAAATCATCAAGCACAATATCTTTCCCCGGCGCAACAATCTCGATTTGAGGTTCAGCGTCCTCAATCGCGTGAATCGTGTACGCAATCGGTTGCGAGTTTGAGATACTATTGATGTCAATTAGTTCAATATGATACTTTTCGCTACGCTGGACAATAAAGCTGCCAGATAACCGGGTGCCTTCTGAGACTGTAAGTTTGACTGGATTTGATTCTTCAAAGACCAGCCTCGCTGAAGCGATTGGTTGATTTCCATCTCCCTCAAAATGAACCATTGTTCCAATAAGGGTAGTGACATCGCCAAGATTCTCCTCAAGTACCTGTGGGGAAAGTTGCGTGTATTTCGGGTAGTTGAGTTTAAGTTGAAAGCGGCTCAAGATTGGTGCGCGAGTAACAGTGATATGAAAGCGTTCTGATTGTTCTTCTTTCACCGCGATGTAATATTCCATTGATTGCGTGACGTTTTTGAACGTGAAACGGTAAGCGATTTCGGTATCATCTCTTGTCATCAAAAGATTACGCCATGCGCTCGCCGATGCCGTCGTTTCGCGTCCGCCTCCCACACGATAATAGAGGTGCACGGGTGCCCCGAAGTGCCCCGTCACTTTCGCGGCGATAGTGACATCTGTCCCGGATTTTATTCGCACATTCCCCGGCTGAACCTCATCAATCTGGACAACGAGAATATCCTGCGGCGTTTTGGGCAGTTCGTTGAATGCTTGTGCAAAATCCTTCGCTGCGGATGGGAAGGCGAAGAGGGTAATAAACAGCAGCACAAAAGCGATAAGGGCAAAACCACCGTACCGCTTGAGTTTCATAAACTCCCGCGAGAAGACTTTTCTACTTTCGATCTCGTCCATCAATTGATGTGTGCCTTCAATCAATTTTTCTATGAACCCCAAGCCATACCCGAAGCGGTTGTTCTCCATTTCTGGCTTGAGTTGGACGGCACTCAAAATACGGTTTTCAAATCCGGGATAGTGATTTTCAACATAAGCAGCCACACGAGCGTTTGTTAGCTTTTGGAATACAGGCTGAATCAAGTATCGAAACGCTGCATACACACCGATCCCTAACCACAGCAACACCAGTCCCATACGGAAAAGGCGCGGTAAAGGCAGAATCTGATCAATGATAAAGGCAAAGGCAAGGGCGAGGGCAATTGTCCCCAACCACCGGAGTAAACTGTGGGAGAAAAGCAGCAATCGCCACTGTTTTCGCAATGAGTGAAGCCGGTTAATAATCTCTTGATAAGTTTGTTCCGTATTTGTGTTCGACACAGCGTGACCTCCATAAGCGTTATGGCGGATTCATAAAACGTGATGCGTAAATAAGCACCTGAACGAATGAGGTGGTGGCTAAACCAACCCCCACTCCCCTAATACCTCCAAAACTGACGGCATCGATTCTTTCCAGAGCCAATCCACCTTCAGCCACAAACCCTTCAGCACAGTGCTGCGAAAAATACCATCTTCGCTGATAGGTGCTAAGCCATAAATACCATCTTCACCGCGCAGATAGAATTCGGCTTGGTGACGTTGCGGGTCAATCAACCAGTATTCGTAAACACCGCCTTCCTCGTATTCATAGAATTTGTCCCCTCGATCCGTTCCACGGCTTCCGGGGCTAATAATTTCCACCACCAGATCTGCGGGACCATTTAGATACGTCTCTTCCAAGCGGGACAAATTTTCGTTTGCAACGAACATAATGTCAGGTGCTCGACTCGGCAACTCAAGGGCTGTTTTCATCTGAAATGGGTCATAAGTGACAACACCTAACCGATGAAGGTCAACAAAGTGTGAAATCAATGATAGAAGGAAACGTCCTAGATTCTGATGCTCAATTGATATCGGCGTCATGAAAATCACCTCTCCGTTGACCCACTCTGCATGAGTGTCTTCGTCCAACCATTCGAGAAATTCGTCGTAGGTCATCTTTGCCGCTAGTATTTTCTGATCTGACGGGAAATCAGAGGTGTCCAAACGCTCGGATTTGATTTCCTGTTTCTGCCGTGCCAGTTCAATTAGTTTCTCCAGTTCGTCATTCGGTAACAACACTTTGTCGCCAATGGGCTGGGTATGAATGGTTATCATGCGCGTTCACCTCTATTTTTATCTTCTACTCCTTTAGTGTGTCAGTACATAAACCGCAATATTGACCGCCATCTTTGCCGCAAGTTCGCGGACCTGTGGCGTATCTTTGGGATGGACCTTTGGATCTTCTAGACCATCCCCAATGTCCGAACTGTAGACGTAATAAACGGCCATTCGGCCTTCGTGGAATAACCCGAAGCCTTGCGCGGGTTCACCATCATGTTCATGAATTTTCGGAAGCCCATTGGGAAAATCGTAGAAACAGTGATAGATGAGATGTGAATTCGGTATAGGTTGCAATGACTGATCGGGAAACACGCGGCGTATTTCACGACGGAAACTCCCATCCAACCCGTAATCGTCATTCACAAAGAGAAAACCGCCGTGCGTCAAATAGAAACGCAGTGCCTCGACCTCTTCTTTAGTGAAGCGAATGTTGCCGTGTCCCACAATATAGAGCATTGGATATTGGTATAAGTTCCGATCCGTCAGCTTCACAATCACACGTTCTTCCGCTGCCTCAATATCCGTTCTGGTCCGAAGAATCTTCAACCAGTTGGAAATGGTGGTCTGATCGCCGTACCAATCACCACCTCCACCGTATTGAACTTGAGCGATGACAAACTGCTCACCAGCACTTTGGGCGGATCCAATCACGAGAACTATACTCAACACAACGTAAAATGTGAAATGTAATGCGCGATTTATTTGATGCCCGGCGGTTCTGTCCATCATATCTTTCAACTACACTAGTCCTCTCCGCATACGCAAAAACCATTCCGCCCCCAAGAACCCAACCGCAAGGATCAGGACTATTGGGTTATCCCACAACTCACGTTCTTGAACCGCAAAGACAGATTCTTGAACCGGCTTAATCTTATCGGGGAGAGATGCAGCGTCGGCAATTGGAGTGTAATGACCGCCGGTTTTGGCTGCGAGTTGTTTAAGCAGACCTTCGTTGAGTTCTGGATTCTCAAACTCCGCCAACGGAGATTCAACAAAGATTTCTGTTGAGTCTTCACCGAGTGAAACAGAGCGATCCACACCTGAAGCACGAATATGGTACGTCCCTTTCTGGTTTGCACGGAACTGAGCACGATAGGTGCCGATGCTCTGTGAATTTACACCGGTTCGGACTTGAAAATGCTTTCCGTCCGGTGGTGTCACTTCGATTTTAAGATCTGCGGCGACCATCGGTTGATAGCTCTCATTATAGGCGTACGCAATGATCTGGACTTCACCGCCAACTGAATAGGTTGTCAAATCTGTCGTGACATTGATCCGTTTGGTATCTGTCCGTGTTGCCATCCAGCGAATCGTCTGTCCCCAAAAGCGGGGATAAGTATCGTCCTCATCTTTGAAATTCCATACACCGAATCCCCAATTCCACAGTCCTTCAGCAGCAATTAGAAGACTTTTTCCCAATCCCGAACGTTGGAAAATCATGATAGGCAGCGTCGTCTGATTCCTGTCTGAGTGATACTCAGCGAGTGTTGTTGCCCCGCCCTTGAGCTCAAATCCACCCAACCAGCGTGACAGCGGCGGCAAATCGCGCCATAAGGCTTCGACTTTTGCTTGCGTATCTCCCAAACGGGTAATCGGATGAGTACAGACCCTGTTGCGTCAATTGAAGGCTAAAATCCTCATCTTGCACATAGCAACCGTTGGAGGGGATGACAATCGGCAGAAGCGCAGCAAGCTTGGTCTTCCTAAAACCATCGCGACCGAGCGAGTTGCGGCCACCGAGAAATATAACTGCTTTCCCCTCTTTTTCGACAAAATCGACGATTGCTGTGTGCTGTTGTGGAGTTAGCGTGCTTGAGCGGAGATCGCCGATGATGAGTACATCGTAGAATAGTAAGTCATCAAGCGTTTTCGGGAATTGAGGCATACGAGATCGCTGGGTTGTCTGTGGATAGTACCGATCGTAACGGGCTAACAGCGTTCCACGGAGTTGGTTCGGCGACTTGCTCGATAGGATGACACAGGTCGAATCAATGTTTGGGTCGCGTTCAAGTGTGCGCTTGAGAAAAGCGTATTCCCAGCCCGGCTGTCCTTCAATGTAAAGTAGGTGTAACTTTGTCTTAACCACTTTCAATGGAAACGCTCGTGTATTGTTTTCGGCAGTTAGCTCACCTTCAAACACGGGAACGGAAACGACGTATTGGAAAATGCCCTCCTTCTGAGGGGTCAGAGCGAACTCAATCGTTTGCTTCGGCTCATCTGTTAGTGTAATTGGCACCGCATCCACAACCTGATTATCCATCATGAGTGAAACACGTGTCTGACTCCCTGAATAGCCTGTATGATCCACAGTAACGCGAATCGGCACATCGTGCTCCGTGTAAGCGACAGGACTGGCTTCGACTCTGGAGAGTTTGAGGTCTCTTGGAGGGGCAGGATTGCCAACACCGACCGCGTAAATAGGAATTTGCGTTTCAGTCACCTTCTCAACCACAGACGTTGAGGCGTTGTGCGCTCCATCGGTGAACAGGACTACCCCGGCAAGCAGTTGACCCCGCCACTCTTTAGAAGCATCATCAATTGAAGCCGCAATATCGGTTAATCCTCCCACTGCATCAAGTGGGCTAGTCTCACCGGAAATCTGATGAGGTTGTTTATCAAAACGATATAGGTGAACATCAAATTGGTCGGTTAGAGTTGGGAGAAAGCGACTGGTTGGACTAAATAAGATACTGTTCACAAGGTCTAATCGTGTTGAAGACTGTCCCGCTAGCTCTACATCTTTAAGGCGCATGCTCTGAGAGGTATCCGCAAGAACCAGCAAATTTGTTGGTGGGGTGATATCTTTTCGCTCAATTAGTACCGGCTCAAGCAGACAAATCAACAACACGAGTGCTGCTAAAATTCGTAAACCGATGAGAAGCACCCTAAACCTTTGACTCAGTGGGCGATTCAAGCGAAGATACCCATACGCCGTAATACCAGCCATGATCGCTAGTCCAAGTACAACCGCCCACCATGGCCACAGGTAAGTAAATCGCATCAAAGTTCCTTCTTTGTTTCCAGTTATTTAGTGAATTATACCCCATACCGAAAACACCGTCAACTGAAATACTGGAGCGGATTGCGGTACGACAGGATTCCGGTCTATCGTTACTTTCAATAACCAACCCCAAAATTTTACTTTTAAGGGTTGACAAGGAAATCCATCTTCTGTAGAATTAGCGTTGCCTCACTCATCCAGCTGTATGTGCACTTATTATTTTAAGGCAGGGGCATTTAGTTCTCTTGTAGGAGGGATCTCCGAATCCCGATACCTCACTTGAAGATTAAACCGTTGCTCGAACCACACGAGTAAGGGGGTGGAATCAATTCAATCATCACCCATATTAGATAGAATTTACGCTATAACGCTCAGTTTCAGAGGGGAAATGATTCCAGCAGAGATCGTCCTGAGTCCCGAAACACATCAAAAAATTGTGGAAGAATCGAACTTCCAGCAGGGACTCGAGGCAAGAAAAGATCCGGTATCCGCGCTTAAAGGAGCTTTCTCCATTCCAATCACGATTCGAGAAGAAGACACGGACATTGTCGTTGTAAAAGGACTATACCCAAACCCTTGCCCGGTTTGTGGTCGTCGCATTCCGTTTCTGCGAGAGATGATTGAGCGTATTGAATCCCGTTCCATCAAACGTATCCGTTGTCCATTGGGACACCGCTACGAGGGAGAAATCAAAGTATACTACCTGAACATCTTTCAGGAAAATCAATCGGAAGCCAAAGCAATCCAAGTGTGCCCACAATGTGGGAGTGAAAATATACAGAATCTAAGCCAAACAGATATCTTTTGCCTCGATTGCGAATGGGATAACCTGAAACATATTCACGACGTTTAGCGTGCGTGTTAATGGGAGAGAACGACGAAATAACAATAGTGGGAAAAAGATGTGCCCATCAATACGGAAATAAAAAAGCCATGCTGCCTGTTATATGACAGCATGGCTTTTTCGTGCCCCGATAGTGGACTTCGGGGACAGGTTTGTGTTGTCACCTTGTGGTGATTAATGGTGATGGTGCCCATGTCCATGCCCATGATGTTCATGGTCTTCTGGCTCTTCCTCTACCTCTGTTATTAACGTCTCGGTTGTCAACAGCAGTCCTGCGACACTCGCACCATTTTGAATTGCAGATCGTACCACCTTCGTCGGATCAACGATTCCTGCCTCAAGCAGATCTCCGTACTCTCCGGTCGCGGCATTCAAGCCGTAGCTTTCCTCACCATCTTTGACTTTCGCAGCAACAACGGATCCTTCCAAGCCTGCGTTCTCGGCGATGGTTCGGATAGGTGATTCTAAGACTCGTCGGACAATGTTCACGCCTGTTTCTTGGTCGCCCTCAAGATGAAAATCTTCAAGCGCGGAACCTGCTCTTAGCAATGCGATGCCACCGCCCGTGACGATTCCCTCTTCAACGGCTGCGCGGGTTGCAGACAAGGCATCTTCAAATCGTGCCTTTTTCTCCTTCATCTCAACTTCTGTTGCGGCACCTACATTAACAACAGCAACGCCGCCAGCGAGTTTTGCCAGGCGCTCTTCTAACTTCTCCCGATCATAATCAGAAGTCGTATCCTCAATCTGTTGTCGAATCTGTCCAATCCGTGCCTGAACATCCTCTGTGGCACCGGCCCCGCCAACAATCGTTGTGTTATCTTTGTCAACGATAATACGCCTTGCGCTTCCCAACATACCGGCTACAACATTTTCCAAACGGATTCCGATGTCTTCTGAAATCACCTGACCACCGGTGAGAATGCCAATATCTTCAAGCATCTCCTTGCGACGGTCTCCGAAGCCGGGGGCTTTCACTGCAACAACTCTAAGCCCACCACGAAGTTTGTTCACAACCAACACTGCTAAAGCCTCTCCCTCAATATCTTCGGCAATAATCAGCAGTGGACGGCCAAGTTGACCGACCTTTTCTAAAACTGGAACTAGATCCGTAACTGTGCTAATTTTGCCGGTGTTAATCAAGATAAGCGGATTTTCCAATTCAGCAACCATAGATTCGGGATCTGTCGCAAAATGCGCGGAGAGGTAGCCTCGATCAAATTGCATGCCTTCAACAATATCGACCTCTGTTTCAGCACTCTTGCCATCTTCAATCGTAATTACGCCATCTTTCCCAACTTTTTCCATTGCATCGGCAACGGTCTGTCCAATGTCGCTGCGATTCGCGCTATCGTTGGCGGCAATTGATGCGACCTGTGCAATCTCATCGCTGGTGTTGACCGATTTGCTCTGTTTTTGAAGTTCTCCAACAATAACTTCAGCGGCTTTGTCAATCCCGATTTTCAGCTGCATTGGATCGGCACCGGCGGCAACGTTTTTGAGCCCTTCGTGAACGATTTCTTGTGCCAATACAGTCGCTGTGGTTGTACCATCTCCTACTGCATCATTGGTCTTGGTTGCGACGGATTTCAGTAACTGAGCACCCATATTCTCATAATGATCTGGGAGATCGATTTCTTTAGCCACCGTTACGCCGTCACTGGTAATCACGGGTGCGCCAAAGGATTTCTGGAGAACAACATTCCTTCCACAGGGCCCCAACGTAACTTTCACGGCGTTTGCTAGTACATCTGCCCCTTCCTTAAGGGCATTCCTTGCTTCTACATCAAAGATCAGCTGTTTTGCTGCCATAGTGTTCCTCCTTAATTTAATGTACTGTAATCAATTTTAAGAGATAAGCGTGTGTTTCGCTTCATCTTGAGACAGGATCTGTGCACTTTATTGGCAAGAATCCAACCGTAGGGCGGATTCTCGGTGAATCCTACTAAAGACAGGCCCATACATATAACAATTTCAAAAGCCGGAACTTTTAGCACTCTCGCATGGTGAGTGCTAAAAGCAGGCGAAATTATATCATTACTGTATCCCAAAGTCAACCTGAATCTCAGCCTATATTCAGGTTTATCGCTTGCCTCGACCAGTAATCCGTGATAAAATGGCGTTGCTTAAATTGCACATCACGGTGCATCAAGCCTTGCGTGTGCCACAGATTGGGCAGTTTTTAGCTTACAAGAATTCACGAAATAACTCGAAATCCTCCGATGCTGCCTCAATAGTAACTGATATATTGCCCCGATAGTCGTCAGAATTGAGGTGTTCGCTCAATGTGGAGCAACCGAAAAAACGCAAGGCACGGAAAAATTGATTTTGCCTAATCATTTGCTCAGTCAATGGTATAATCTTTGCTCCCAGATAACGGTGATGCACCTAATATCCGGTTTGATAAAAATAACAACCGGTTGATTCAAGTGGATAACGCTTCATTCTATCGTAGTGTTTCAACGGTTTCAAATCATCGCAAGGTCTTATAATGTGTCCCTCTACACGCAGGCGAGCATGGAAAGGAGAATGAAAATTGAACAACATATTTCTGAAAGACATGGCTTATCGCAAGGCAAGGGTCATCTTGACCACGATTGGCATCACCGTGCTAATCGCCCTTATTTTGATGTTGGGGGGAATCATGAATGGGATGCGCATCCAAGCGCAGCAATACCCTAAATTCACAGGAGCGGATATTTGGATCTCCGCAGAAGGCTCCGGCAGCGCATTTATCGGTTTTTCACTGCTTGTCCCAGAACACCTTGCCTATCTCGATGGCGCACCGCCTTTGAAACCCCAATCGTTGTCACCACTTGTTTTCGCACATGCGCGACCTGTAATTCGTGGAAAACTTGGCAAAGCGGTTGTTGTGGGATACAAGGTGGGCAAATTGGGGGGACCGACGCAGTTTGAGTTAACCGAGGGACGAATGGTTACTGCTAGTGAATATGAGGGATGGGCGGAAGCGGATATTCCACCACGTGAGGTTGTCGTCGATGAAAAGATGAATCTCGAAATCGGGGAACGGATTTTGATCGGGAACAAAGACCTCAAAGTGGTTGGAAAAGCAAAGAGCCTGATGTTTGTTCTCGACACGCCGCTGCTGTTTATGGATCTTCGGACTGCACAGGAAGTGCTGCTTAAAAACTCACTTCACGTCAATATGATGATAGCTCAAGCAGCAGAAGGATATACGCCTGAAAAAGCCGCGAAGGATCTCGAAAACTTCGATGCAGAACTTAAAACGATTGATGTACGCACCCTTAAACAAACGCTTGGCGATATTATTGCTACCTATGTAGATGAGCCGATGAAGGCTGTTCAATTTCTGCGGGTAATGCTCTGGATTGCCGCGGGGCTTATCGTCGGAATGATCACCTACGTCACAACGCTCGAAAAGACACAAGAGATTGGTGTCCTCAAAGCGATAGGGGCGTCTAATTTTTACATTTCGTCGTTGATAATCAAGCAGGTTGTTCTGATGTCGGTGGCCGGTGTTGTTTGTGGGCTGATTTTGTCGTACATCTTTGCTGTCGCTGCGCCAATCTTCGTGTCAATTCACCCGGTCGAATCAGGCATTGTCGTGCTTATCAGCTTTGTTGTGTGTTGCGCCGGCGGTTACCTCGCTGCGCGAAAAGCGATCGCCGTTGACCCAATGGTCGCATTTAGAGGTGAGGTCTAATCCGTGGAAGTGAAGCGCGAAAGGTGAATAAACCTCTGATACAAATTTCCGATTTGGATTTAGCATGAACTGTCGCTTTTCTCCGTTCCTTCTCCAAGGGAGGCGACACACGAATTGCTAAGGGGATAAGGAGGCACTGAATGGGAATCGTTGTCGAAGGAAAAGGATTAACAAAACATTTTGGCGAAGGAGATGCGAGGGTTGTAGCTGTTGACCAAGTTGATATCGCCATCGAAGAGAGTGAATTGGTGATGTTTCATGGGCGACAGTGGTTGTGGTAAGACGACGCTGATCAGCGTACTCGGTTGTATCCTTACACCGAGCGAAGGTGATGTTTGGATTGATGGAGAACAGATCGACTACGAAAATCACGATCTGTCCCAACTTCGCAGCGAGAAGATTGGCTTTGTGTTTCAACTGTTTAACCTTATCCCGTACCTAACAGCGGTAGAAAATGTGATGGTCGCCATGGATATTGCTGGCATGAAGAGCAACGAGGCGGAAAAGCGCGCGGCGGAACTTCTCACTCAGGTTGGGTTGGAACAACGTTTACACCATCGGCCTGCACAGCTTTCAGGCGGCGAAAAGCAGCGCGTCTCCTTTGCACGCGCCCTTGCCAACACCCCTAAAATCATCTTTGCCGATGAACCCACCGCGAATCTTGACAGCCGACAGAGCGCGAATCTGATGAACCTTGTTCGAGAGCTGCGCCAAGAACACCAAACCACGATCGCAATCGTAACGCATCACGAGGGCTTAAAGAAGGATGCGGATCGGGTGATTCAGATGAAAGATGGGCAGATTGTGTCGGTGTAGTACGGTTGTCATAACTTCGGCGACAGACATTTTGGTTCTTGGGTCACCTTTAGTAGGAGCGATCTCCGAATCGCGACTTCTCTGAGTAGATGCGCCAGTTTGGTGAGATTGGAAATAAGAAGAGATAACCCATGTCCACCTCAAAATTTGTTCCATTTAAGGAGACAAACCCTCATATTGACAGCACTCATACCTTGACTTTAAAATTTGCCGATGATGGCTACCTCTTCTTCAGGGATCTGCTTGATAAGAAGCGGATAGAGATAGTCAGAGATAACATCGTTGGTGTGCTCAAGGCGCATGGATTTGTTAATAAAGATGCGAACTCAGATCCGATTTGGTCGGGAAAATGGCCAGAGGCGAACGAGTTTTCACCGGACGGGCAGTCACAAAAGATGTCGTCGAACTGGGAATCCTCGAAGCGTTGGCTGTAGCACCTGAGCTCATCGAAGCATTGAGACGGGTGCTGGGTGAGGAGGTTTTCTGTTGGGCGGATAACAAGGGCAGACTCCGACTGATGCTCAGCGGTGAAAAGAGCATGCAGGTCGCAGATGGTCCCCAGTTCTCTTTTACAACGCCGCCCCATCAAGACTACTATTTTTTTCGTCCAGTGGAATTCTGCACCGTCTGGATCCCGCTAATGGATATTGATGCCTCCATTGGTGGGCTAGCGATTGAGCGTGATTCACACAAAGAGGGTTTACATGAGGTTTGGTGGAAGGGCAAAGATTATCTTGGGGTGGCTGAAAATCCAGAGCAAGCCAGAGCTTGGCGGGAGGAAGGAGGTGTCGTTGTTGCCGGTACGACGAAGCCCAAGGATACAGATCGCGTCTGGCTTCGATCCGATTACCAACTCGGAGATGTCCTTATTTTCCAGCCATTGATGATGCATACCGGAGTGGCAAATGCTTCTGACAAAGTGAGGATTTCTAGCGATTTCAGGTATCAGCGCAAAGGCACCCAAACCAATTGGGAATCCCATACCCCCATGGTTGAGTCCTCGAAATACTTCGGCGAAATTTTTAAATCCTTAGATGAACTAGGCGTAAAAACAGGGGTATATGAAAAAGTGTGGGAAACCATGCGTCTAGAAGGTCCGAGCGGGAGAGTGGATTACGATGTATCTGAGCGAGTGAGAGAACTGGTTGAGCAGATACCTGCATCAGATTAATCTCTATGGTATCATTGATACCTGAACAACATCATTAGCTAATAGCCGTTCTAACGGCTATTGTTGTCCAAAAGTATGCCGCGTGAAACAAAAAAATAGTTTGAAATCAGTTAAAGGAATGCGGTCATGATACTTCAGCCCCGCCGTCGCAGATTGATCCATGCCTTACTCATTTCGCTGATTATCTACCTCTGCACTGCTATAGCGTTGGCGTTCATATACTATCAGGGAGGTAAAGGCGGGTTTGAGGAGATAGTAGAGGTTGTGCTCCTCGATGAAAAAGACCTCCTCAAATCGCGCCGAGACCCACTTAAACCGCCCCCACCGAACGTATCATGGTCCCAAGACAGGTTCAATCGTCAATGCCCCATCAACCCCAAACGGTCAAGTTGACAGCCTCCGCCAATCCGATTAGTGAAACCCTCCAACTATCAGAGCAACCGTTACTTCGCAGTGCAAACCCCGATCAAGCCAATCCCCAAGACCAACTTCCCGATGTTACAACAGCAACAGAACGACTCAATAGTCGTGAGACACGGATTAACGAGACGGTTTCAACGCGCTTATCAAACAAGCGATGGGGAAGGTGTGGAAAGTCATAGGCAACGGGCTAAAGGGAGCGGCAAAGACGGCATCCATGCACTGGAATCTACTAGCGCATCAGATATCGGAGTTGTTGGCAATCGCCCCGGGAACGCGCGGATCCGGTCAACAGGATGGCTCAACTGCGGGAGATAGTGCCTCCGATAGTCCCCTTTGCTGAGGCTTTGCGCCGTATCGCCGAGCATATCATTGCTACGCGCACGAAAGATCAAGTTGATATCGTCTTTGTGCTTGATACAAGTGCGAGTATGCGGGACAACATTCAGCAGGTCGCGGACAATCTATTCAGCATGACCGATGCGTTTGATGAGATCAATATCGAATATTTCCTTGGCATGGCTGAGTTTAGTGTTAGGTACGAGGGGCAAGTGCTGAAGCGGCGTCCACTTGTGCCAGATGTCGGGATGCTTCGAGTATCAGATGAGAAAAATCGGATTGAGTGGAGACGAACACGCGCTTGATGCGATGATGGACACTTTAACTCCATGGAATTTCGTTCAGAAGCGGATAAATTTATCGTGCTAGTAACAGACGAACCCGCCACGACCCAATTCGGGATGGGATCGGAGCTTGGTGAGGTACGTCAAAAGGTTATTGACAGCTGTCAGTTGTATGGATTGCGTGTCAATGTGCTAGGACACACGGAGAAATATCAGGCGCGTCTCGCGGAAGAAACCGGCGGACTATGGCAAGAGATTCCCGGCGGGGTCAGACAGAGAGGTAGTTTGCAGGCTTCAACTACTAGCAAGGGAGGCCTCGTTGAAGTCTTCCGTACAATTGCCACCGATATCCGCCGAAACACCGGCGCACTGTTATTCAGCCTTGAACTCGAATTCCAAGCAGCATTGGACGATCACGGGTACATTCTCACCAAAAAACTGCGTCGAGCGTTTCAAAAGAACAACGTTTTCCTGTCTGACACTTGGGAACTCGCTGAAAAGCGTTATCACCTTGGTAAGATCACCGGGCGAAATATGGGTAATTACGGACCATGCTAGCGGACGAATCTACACAGTTCGGAAAGAGGGAGAGAAACTCAATGTCTACCTCGGTGTCCATCCGGAAGCTTCTACGCACCAAATAGCTGACATTGTCATCATGTTGGATTATAGCCGTAGCATGGGCGGGAAGTCTGAAGCGGTAATGCTTGGTATCAGTACCTTAATTGGGAGATTGCATCTTTTGCCGATTGACTATCGAATCGGACTCATCCGTTTCGCAGAGGCAAAGGATGCAATCAAATCGGTCCATGGTGCAGATGTCATCCAGATGCCGCTCGGCGAAACCGCGATACGGGACCTGATGGCATTGCCCTTCGGTGGGGATGAACATCTTACGGATGCCATTGTGAAAGGACTGCCACAAGTTCGCTTTCGTCGCGATGCGAGTCGTTTTATCCTTGTCTTGACCGACGAGCCAACCACCGGCACTGTCCCGCCGGAACGTGCAATAACACTTTGTCAATCATTGGGAGTGCGGGCATACGTCATCGGTGTGCCAGGAAAAGGCGATTTTCAATGGAAATTGACCAAACAAACCGGCGGTCAGTTTTTCCCGATGCCGAAACACCTGCCTCAAACCTATCCATACCAGTGACATACTCCCCAAGCTAAAGTATTAGGCTTGTTTCAAGCCTTTGGAATTGTTCCCTCAATAGTTGAGCCTTCAACTGTGTAAGTCCTACCGTGTTTATCTGTGTCCCTCCCCTAAACCCGATGCTGATGGATATTTATTACAAGTGTCGTCCTCTGAAGATAAAAAAATACATGGATGCAAAAAAAAATCTTGACAAGAGGAAAAGCCATCCGATATAATTAACAGTGTTAAGTTAAATTACTATGTGAAAAAGGGGCAAAGCAATGGGTACTAAAGAACGCAGGGCAAGGGAAAAGAGCAGTACGCGTCAAATATTGCTGCATGCAGGCGCGCGAGTGTCGTCAATGAAGGCTACGAGAATGTCTCTATGCGAAAGATTGCCGATAAAATCGAGTATTCACCGACGACGATCTATCTTTATTTCAAAGATAAGGCGGATCTTTTAGATTCCGTTTGCAAGGAGACCCTCCTAGACCTGTTGAACACGCTTGAGTTGCTAAATAGAGATAAAAGCAACCCCGTCGAAGCCCTGAAAAAAAAGCGGAAAAGCCTATGTCGACTTTGGTCTAAAATATCCGCAAGATTACAAGTTGACGTTTGTCGTCCGTCCCCAGTTCCAGAAGGGTTTAGGTCTGGAAGAAGGATCGGTTGGCGAGAGGGTGTTTAATTACCTGTGCGCAATGGTCTCTGAATGTATTCGACAGAAAGCATTCCGCCAAGTGGCTGTCGAAACCACCGGTCAGGCACTGTGGTCAGCGGTTCATGGTGTTACATTGCTCCTTATTGATTTTCCCGATTTCCCTTGGACCTCGAAAGACAAATTAATCGACATGGTGATTGACACGATGGTTGATGGTTTGAAGGCGTAGATTTTAAGTTATTTGGCGCAGGTCGCCATATTTTTTTGCCAGCATGTTAACACCGTTAAGTTATTTATCTATGTTAACACATAGAAGATCCTGAAAGGAAAAAAGAATGAAAAAACAAAACCTATTCTACAAACACTTTCTTTCCACCCGTCGGTGCTGATCGGGGATATGAACGGCGACAGCCGCTCGGACCTGCTGGTACAGAAGGGACGGGAAGAACTGCACGTCTATCTCGGCGTGCCGGGGCCAAAGCTGTTCGCCCGGCGGCCTCAAAAGGTGTCGGTCGTCATGCCCTACGAGGAATACACCTGGCTGGTGGACCTCAACAAGGACAGCGTGCAGGACCTCCTCATGCATCACCCGTCCACCACTGAGCCGAATCGGGTGACGATACTTATCGCTCGATGAACGAAATCGGTGATTTATATCGTTACTGCATAATCTTGTTGCACGATTTGGAATAGAAAGCAATGGATATCAACGAGAAAGTACAGCCATTCATGGGTTCAAAAACGCGAGTTTTCTTAGCATTTCACGTTTCACATTTCAAAAAGGAAAAAAATAATGAGACGCTCAATTTTCTGCTTAATCTGTGTCCTTTTAGGGGTAACCTTCAGTGCCTCGGTTCAGGCGCAAGAAACTGACCTCACCAAAAGTTTCGGTATTGGACTTCAGGGCGCTACACCCGCATACAGTTTTGTTGATGACCAGCAGCCGCAGACAATCATTGGTGGAATCAGTTTTCCGCTATAACGGACTGGCGCCAGTCTATCTTCAAACCGTTGGACATTTTATTCTCAATGATCAGGATAGCGACCATATATTAGGTGCTGGCGTTTCATATGCCATATTTGAGCACCAAAGCAAGTGGAGCATAGCCCGACTTTATTTTACCTTAGAAGGCGGTTGGCGATATCAAAACGAGCAGGAGCCCGGTCGAGAGATTGTCCAAACCACGACTCTCGGAGGTGGGCTCGCTTTTGGCGGTGAGTTTGTGTTTCCAATTGGGGGGATTCCTCTCGGCTTGAGTGTGAAAGTTGGTCAAGGGTTTGGTAGGGAAAAAGCTAGTTCTCAATCCAGCGGTCTTGCTGGCGTTTACGTAGGAACGGGCATACGCGCCTATTTTTAGATCTCTTTTTTAGTTAGGGTATGTAACGCTCAATGCCAATACCGGAAACAGTCGCACAACAGAATACCATCAATGTGGCACAAGGTTATAGGCTCAATCAACTCAGAGGGTTGTGAGTCTGTTCCGGGGGGTGCTTAGGACGACTCGTGTCAAACCAATTTAGTGCTTGCATTTCTGAATGTGGTGTGCTAAAATCAGTTGGCTATCTTCAAACGGTTTTAACAAAAATGGTCAAAGATAAATTGGACTTTAGGCTTGCGTGTAAACGCGATTAACCTCAATTCTAAAACTACACTGTAAGGAAGAATACGATGGCAGATGTTCTAATTATTGGTGATGGTCCCGGCGGTTTAAGTGCCGCACTGTTCCTAGCCAAAAACGACATGGACGTAACCGTTTTTGGTCAGAATAAAACCTTTATGCACGACGCAATGCTCTACAACTACTTAGGCATTCCTGAGGTGACCGGAACTGAGTTTCAAGAGATTTCTCGTAGACAGGTCGAGGGATTCGGCAGCAAAATCCTTGATGTCGAGGTAACCGAGGTTGAAACCGGCGGAGTTGAATTTTCCGTGAGTACGGCAGCGGGAGATAAACATCAGGGAAAATACCTTATCGTTGCAACCGGTTTTGAGGAGGCGTTGGTCGAAAAACTTGGACTTGGCACCGATAGCGATAATGATGACGCTATCATTGCCGATCGAGAGGGAAAAACAGCGGTTGAAAACCTCTATGTTATCGGTTGGCTAACTCGCGGTCAGCGGACACAAGCGATTATTTCCGCCGGCGAGGGTGCCGCAGCAGCGTTAAGCATTCTCTCGACCGAAGCCGGCAGAGATGTCCACGATTTTGATGTCGTCAAAGAGGATGGAGATGACGAGTAAGACACGGCAACTCGTCGGTAACTAAGATGCTCAGAGACGTCGTCTCTGGGCTTTTTTTTAGAGCGGGCAAGTTTTTACAATATCTAAGGAGAACTGGAATGCAATGGTCCAGAATGACTACAACTGAGACTCAAAAAAGACTGTGCTGCCTTGTCTGTTTACTATTTACTTTGTGTGCAGCAACGTTATATGCAGCCGGATTTGAAGATGTCGAACAAAAAATCAAAGAACATGTTTTGTCCAACGGCATGAAGTTCATCATCCTTGAGCGGCATGAAGCACCGGTGTTTTCTGGATATATTTATGTCAACGTTGGCAGTGCTGACGAAGTATATGGAAATACTGGAATTGCCCATGTCTTTGAACACATGGCGTTTAAGGGAACAACGACCCTCGGAACAAAAGGGTATGATGAAGAAAAAGCACTTATGGACAAAATGGATGACCTGTTTGATCAACTCAGAGCCCAATGGGCAAAAGGAAATCATGCGGATGCGGAAAAACTAGGTGAATTAGAAGCGGAATTTAAGCAGCTTCAAGAGGAAGCGTCTCAATACTCCGATGGCGAAGAATATACGAAAATCTTAGAACAGGAAGGAGCTGTCGGTGTCAATGCCGGCACATCCGCTGATTGGACTGCGTATTTCTATAGTCTTCCTTCAAATAGGATTGAGTTGTGGATGGCACTCGAATCGGAGCGATTTATTGACCCCGTGATGCGAGAGTTTTTCAAAGAGAAAGATGTCATCAAAGAAGAACGGCGGATGAGAACTGAGAGCAGTCCAATCGGTAGGCTGATTGAAGAACTCCAAGGACTGGCATATCTAGCGCATCCCTATGGTCATCCAATCATCGGTCATATGTCAGATATCAATACAACAACGCGAACAGAAGCCCTTCAGTTTTTTAGAGAATACTATACCCCTAGCAATATGGTCGCTGCGATCATTGGTGATGTGAATGCCGATGAAGTTATCCAGATGGCGGAAAAATACTTTGGTAGAATGCCTGCTCGTTCAAATCCACCCCGCGTTGAAACTGCCGAGCCAAAACAGCTAGGGGAACGACGCCTCAAAATTGTAGAACAGACTCAGCCATTCATCGCTATTGCCTATCACAAACCGGAAGTCAGACACCCAGACAACGCTGTATTTGGTGCAATAACAGATATCTTGGCTTCGGGACGAACGTCACGTCTTTATAAAAAATTAATTCGAGATGAGAAGATCTCAATCTCTGCCGGTGCGTTCCCGGGATTTCCGGGCGACAAATACTCAAATCTTTTCCTCTTTTATTCATTTCCTTCACAAGGACACACGAACGCGAAAAACGAAGAGATGATTTTGGCTGAAATTGAGATTCTTAAAACGGAGTTGGTTTCGGAGGCGGAACTGAAGAAAGTCAAAACGCTTGCAAAGGCCAGGATTGATTCGTTCGCTTCGTTCTAACAGCGGATTAGCTGGAATGTTATGCAGTGCTGAATTCCTTCTGGGCGACTGGCGGGAACTGTTTAGCTCGCTTGAGCGGATTGAAAAAGTCACGAGTGAAGATATCAAACGGGTCGCAAACGAATATTTTGTGGATTCCAACAGATCCGTGGGAGAGATTGTGACATCGACAGACGATGAAGAAAAGGAGGAAAGTCAGTGAAAAAGTACCCGTTATATTGGCTAATATGGAGTTTTGCCCTGATTCTTTTGATTACTGCTACTGGAGAGGCGCAAAATAAGCCCCATGAAGGGCTCGTTTATCCGCCCCTAAATCAACCACAGCCACCCGTTCCTGATAGGTTTGAATTAGATAATGGGATGATTGTTTATCTCCTAGAAGACCATGAACTACCAATTATCGACATTTCCGTGCGGATTCGCACCGGTTCACTCTACGAACCTGCGGACAAAGTTGGGCTGGCAGCAATCACTGGGGCAGTCATGCGAACAGGTGGCACCACAAGTAAAACCGGAGATGAGCTTGATGAAATTCTGGAGAATTTAGCCGCGTCCGTTGAAACGGGCATCGGTGATGATGCCGGCTCGGCGTCCGTGTCGGTCTTGAAGGAAGACCTTGATACAGGGCTATCTATCCTCGCCGATATTCTCATGAATCCTGCGTTCCGAGAGGATAAAATCGAGTTAGAAAAGGTGCAACATCGCAGTGGTATTTCGCGGCGAAATGATAATCCGGGGGGGATCACGAGGCGAGAATTTGGGAAGCTCATCCACGGCGCAGACAGTCCTTATGCACGTACAACCGAGTATGATACGATTAACAGTATCACCCGTGATGACCTTGTCGATTTCTATCAAAAGTTTTTCCGTCCGAACAACATCATTTTAGGTGTGCTTGGCGACTTCGATTCCGAAACTATGTTGGCAAAGGTTCAGGAGGCTTTCAAGGGCTGGGAACCCGCGGAGATCGACCTTCCTGAAAAACCGAAAATCCCTGAAACGTATGGAAAGAGAGTCGCGCTAGTAAACAAAGACGACGTGAACCAAACCAATATCCGCATGGGACATATCGGTTGGTTACGTAAGAACGAAGACTATCCCGCTCTGGTTGTGATGTCCCAAATTCTGGGGATTGGGTTTTCCAGCCGATTGATAAACAGCATCCGAGTTGAAAAAGGGCTGGCATATTCTGTCGGAAACAATTACGGCGCGGGTTACGATGTTCCCGGCGTCTTTTTCATTGCATGTGGAACCAAATCGGAAGCCACTGTAACAGCAATCGAAGCGATTCTGGTTGAAGTTGAAAAGATGCGAGCCGAAGAGGTCACCGACGAAGAGTTAAAACAAGCAATTGACGGTTTCATGAATTCTTCTGTGTTTGACTATGATACCAAAGGAGAAATTCTGTCTCGAGCACTCCGGTATGAATACCATGACTATCCACAGGATTTCGTTGAGCAACTCATGGCGGGGATTCGGGATGTCACAAAAGCAGATGTCAAGCGCGTTGCCGCTGAATACCTGCATCCCGACAGATTCACACTCATCGCTGTCGGCAAAGCCAGCGATTTTGATAAACCGTTGAATACGCTCGGAGATGTCACAGAAGTCGATATTACCATTCCACCCCTCTCTCCTGAACCTGCTCCCGAAGCGGGTGAAGAAGATGTCGCAAAAGCAAAGATGATTCTCACCGATGTCGTCGAAGCATACGGCGGTCTTGATAAACTCAGGGGAGTAAAAAACATCGTTACCAAAGGGAAAATGGTTGTGAATACACCCGGTGGTATGATGGAGCTTGATGGACAGGTAACAATAGTATTACCTGCCAAAGCGCGGGCTGATCTGAGGATGCCGGCAATGGGACTGGAGATGAGTCGAATCTATGACGGTCAAGCCGCGTGGATGGTGATGCCTCAAGGGATTCAACACCTCCCTGCAGCCTTTGCTGAAGAAGCGAAAAAAGAAATTTTTAGAGATAGTGTTCAGCTGCTAATCTATATTTCCGATCCAGATGTTTCTGCTCAATTTCTCGGTACAGAAGATGTAAAAGGTAAAATGGCAGATGTCATACTGGTCAGCGATACGCCGGCGGATACCCTTAAACTCTTTATTGACCAAGAAACAAAACATATTATTAAAAGAGAGTATCAGGCACTAACAGAGCAGGGACCTGCGGAGCGAGAGGAGTTCTTGGACGATTATCGAGAAGTCTCAGGCGTGATGATTGCCTTTCATACCGTTTTGATCGATAATGGCGAGCAATCTGCCGAAATCACGTTCAGCGAAGCCATGATTAATACCGAAGTGGATGAATCGTTATTTCAGGAGTAGCCCAGCAATGGCTTTACTAGATCAATTGCGATAGTGCATTGCAATAGTGCTAACGATTTAAGCCTGAATCAGGGCATACAGATCTAATCCAGCTGAGCCCGGAGGATCTAAACCACACTTATATATAAAAAATCATCCGATTATCGGTGTGGCATTTTTGCGACGACAGTGTGGCACAGTTTCAACACTTTCTTTGTGGACACGACATTCCCTCTGAGATCACTGCGTATATCAGAAGCAAATGCAAAGTTGTCCGGAGCAAGTGTTTTCCGATTAACTCGGTTTTTGCACAATCCCTTTAGGTGGTTCAAGATAACTATGGTATCCAAATTGCTTGTGGTTGATGAACCAAATCAATCTCGTTTGGCAACGATTCGCGTCGGATCTTATCTGGCTCCGTTGAAATGTCAAAGAACCTTAGACGGAGAATCGTATGGGTAAGCAAAACATCACCGAATTTGATGGGTTAGATTTGGAACTGTTTTTTTGCACAGAAATCTTAAAGTTGAATTCATTGCATTACGGATATTGGGAGGAAAGCGAAAAACTAACAGAGGGAGATAATAAACTAACCCTTGAGTGTTTGCGAGATGGGCAACAAAAATATACAGATATGCTCATAGAAGCGATTCCTAAGAATGTTAAAAGCATTCTGGATGTTGGATGTGGAATTGGAGATGTGTCGAGAGCACTCTCAAAATTGGAATATGATGTAACCGCGATTTCACCAGATGGTAATCATGCGAAATATTTTGAGAATCATCTCTCAAAATTAACCTTCTTCCAGACAAAATTTGAGGACCTCGACATTGATAACAAATTCGATTTGATTCTCATGAGTGAATCTCAGAATTATTTTCCAACTGAAATCGGATTTCGTCAATGCACCTCATTTTTATTACCTAAAGGGTATTTACTGGTTGCGGGGATGTTTAGAAAAGATAGCAATAGTAAAATTGCAGAGGTTCCCAATACCACTGAAGATTATATAAAAACCGCCAAAAAGCACGGCTTATTATTGATAGAAAATGTTGACATAACCGGAAATATACTTCCGACTATCGATTTTATTTATGAATCGATGCAGAATTATGTGGAGCCCAGGCGCGAAAATGTTAAGTCAATTTATATCATCAATAGCGCCTCTAAAAAGCTGGTTCATTAAAATCATTTTTCGGAAGCAGATAAATAAGACCCTACAGATTTATAATTATTATCGAAAGAGAACCAACCCCCTTTTTTTTGAAAAGAATATAGTTTATGCTAGACTCTTGTTTCAATGCAATGTCTAGGTGTGAAACGTAAAAATTTACCCAACTTCCCTTTCACAGCCTGCCCCAATGGCTTATGAACGTTTGATCCCCTCACCGATGATGCGAAAACGGATACTTGATTGATACGCTGCTAACCCCTGACCTATTGAGATTTGCCAATCTGCATGACGAGTCGTTAAATCCGTAAAGCGTATAGGGCAATACGCATCACGCGCCACCTATCATGAAACAAATTATACATTCCATCAACCACTGGCTGAAATTACGAGTTCTCGAAATACAGGAATTTGTGGTTTTCATGGCGAACGCTGCGAGGGGTGTATACAAAAAACCTCGATATTGGCACGATTTCTTTGATCACATGGACATCATGGGGGTTGGCTCGATTCCGATTGTACTCATTGCAGGAGGCTGCATTGGTGCTCTAATCACGTTGGAAACGCTAGCAGAGCTGCGTACCTTTGGGGCAAATGTGTTGTTGGGAAAGTTGACAGGACTTTCGATCATACGAGGTTCGGGCCCCGTATTCACTGCGATGATTGTTTCGACCCGTGTTTGTTCGTCCGCCGCCGCCGAGTTAGGCGCGATGCAGGTAAGCCAGCAAATTGATGCCTTGGTGACGATGGGCGTAGATCCTTTCCGGAAATTGGTTACCCCACGCATTGCTGCTGGGACACTTATGTTTCCTGCGTTGGCGACCGTCAATGGTGTTGCTGCAATCCTTACAGGGGCTTTGGTAGCACGACTTTCGGGCACAATGAGTCTAACCTTTTTCCTGAATCAATCCTTGAGCAGTATTACCCCCGGCGATGTTCTCTGGGGGCTGACCAAGTCAACTGTATTTGGCTTTATCGTTGTCTCAACTGCTTGCTATTATGGGCTTCGTGTTCAGGGGGGCACCGCAGGAGTCCGAGCCGGTGCATCTCAGGCGGCAGTTGCTTGCGTGCTTCTCATTCTGATTTCCAATTCTATCATGACAACGCTTGTTCATGCATTTTAGCGATGATCCATTTAACGTAGAAATTCAGCTGACACTTTCATTTGCCACAAATAGCGTTTTGCCCTTTTTTCTTCTATGAGCCCCGTAGGTGGAACACCAATGAACTAATGCACCAATGCACAAATGGTTTTCACGTTTCACGTCCCGATAGATCGGGATCCTCGGAACGGGACATCACGTTTCACGCTTTTAGTGTTTTGCACTTTCTTCCGACATGAGCTTTCTATGATTTTACTCAAAAACATTAACTTCTTCTCCAACGATGCGCAACATATCCTTAAAAATATCACTTTTGACATTCCAACTGCTAAGGTGACTGCTATTATTGGCACGAGCGGATCTGGAAAGACAACCCTCCTTCGCATCATAGCGGGTTTGTATGAACCGACAAGCGGTGAAATCTGGATCGACGGGCAAAACCTAACGGTACTTCCAAAGACCAAACAACAGCAGGTTCGGAGCAAAATGGCAATCGTGTTTCAACACGGTGCCCTCTTTGATTCACTCACGGCTTGGGAAAACGTTGCTTTCCCGCTTTATGAGCAGGGTGCAATGCCGCTTTCAAAGGTGAGAGAGGAGGCAGAGAAATTGCTAGAGATGGTTGATTTACACGGTGCGGCAGATCTCTCAATTGATCGATGCAGCGGCGGGATGCAGATGCGAATCGCCATTGCCCGGGCGCTCGCCTCTTATCCTGAAATTATCCTTTATGATGAACCCTCTAGTGGTTTGGATCCAATTGCACGAGGCCTAATCTGTAATCTCATCCAGAAGCAACAGGTCCAGCAACGTATGACTTCAGTGCTTGTTACCCATCAATTATCTGCAGCGTTTCAAATTTCCAATCATTTTGTTTTTCTATACGAGGGGGAAATCCTCTTTGAAGGAGCTGCCGATGAATTGATGACAGCAAAAGACCCTTATATTCAACGCTTTATTCAACCGCCGAGCCGTTCTTATCGAGCAACCGACCTCGTGCACTTTTAACAAGTCTGTGGTGCGACGAGTCGTAGTATTTAATGGAGGAAAAATTCATGCGATTACAAAGATCGCAAGTCACGTGGTCACAATTGCAAGTCGGAATTTTTGCACTGATTTGTGGTGTCATTTTATTGTGGCTTATCCTTTTCGCTGGTAATGGTCTAAAGGCAGTTCAAAATCGGTTTGCTGTGCAAACCGTTATTGATTCCGCATCCGGATTAAAATCTGGGGATGTGGTCCGTTTAGCGGGAATTGAAGTTGGAACGGTCAAAAGCAGTCGAATTCGTTCGCCAAGATGGTGTGGAAAAAGTCCAAATACAGCTGAATCTAAATCAACAAGCCGCGCAACGAGTCAAGAGCGATTCAATCGTTCAGGTTAAATCGATCGGTTTTACTCAAAGCCGATATGTAGACATCTCACTAGGGACACCTCAAGGCACCCCGGTATCTGAAGGTGCCACTTTAAGAGGAACTGTCCCAACAGAAATGTCCAGTCTGCTAAATCAGGCAATTGTGGTGAGTGAAAATATGAATAGTTCCTTGACCCGATTTGAAAGCCTTGTGAACCGACTGCAATCTGGCGATGGTACTTTTGCAAAATTGCTATCGGATGCAGCGCTTTACACGAATCTGGATCAGGCGACAAACAGCGTCTCGGAGTTCGTCGGAGAGTTAAACGAAGGGGATGGCTTGCTCCCCCAACTCCTCTCCAAGAAGGAGATTGCTGAGAATGTTACGCAAAGCACCGCTTGGGCAGCAAAGTGGGGGCAACAAGCAGTTCAAGGCGAAGGCACGTTAGGGAAACTAAGTGCCGATCCTGCCCTCTTTAACCGGACGGAACGCATTCTAGAAAGCCTCGAAAGTCTTGAAGCGCGTTTCAATCGACTTGATGCGCTAATCGGATCTGCCGATACCCTCATCCAAAAAATCGAGAGCGGCGAAGGAACGGCAGCCAGAATCATCAATCGTCCCGATCTGTATGATCAATCTGTCGTAACTTCCCAAAAGGTAGAACAGTTAATTGATCAGGCGCAATCAGGTGAAGGTACAGTTAGCAAACTCGTTTCGGATCCGTCTTTGGCAGAATCTATTACAACTTCTACCGAATCAATTGCCCGACTCACCGACAAACTGAATACACCCGGAAACACGCTGGACAAACTGACATCGGGAGCTGAACTATTTGATCGCCTGACCGCAACGACAAAACAGTTAGAAACCGTGCTCGTGAAGATTAACACCGGGGAAGGCTCACTGAGCAAACTTGCCAACGATAAGAAAACTGCTGAAGAGCTCACGACACTGATTTATAATCTCAAGGTACTGGCTGCAGATATCGAAGCACATCCCAAGAAGTATGTGGGATTCAGTCTTTTTTAGGACATTTGGAGATAAACGCACTCATTTTTTATGTCCAACGCCTAAGACATCCGGAGAACCAATGAATGGATCTATTTGAAAAATGCTATGATTTTAGCTATGGCAGAAGCACACGAGGACAAGAATATAAAGCAGTGCTCGAGGCAGGGATTTATCCTTATTTCATTCCAATTGAATCCTCCGCAGATACAGAGGTCATGATCAATGGCGAGAAGAAGGTGATGATTGGATCGAATAATTATCTCGGGTTGACACATCACCCGAAAGTCCTTGAAGCTGCCGAGATGGCTGGGCGAAAATACGGCTCTGGTTGTACGGGCAGCCGATTTCTGAACGGCACCCTTGATATCCATATCGCGCTTGAAGAAGCACTCGCCGAATTTGTTCACAAGGAAGCTGCATTGGTTTTTAGCACCGGATTTCAAGTCAATCTCGGTGTTATTGATACCCTTGTGGGGCGCAGGAACATCGCTTTCATTGATTCGTTGAGCCATGCGTGTGTCGTTGATGGGTGCCGCCTCTCTTGGGGCGAGATGACGAGGTTCCGACACAACGACTTGGACGATCTGGATAGCAAATTGGAAAGTGCCCCTCCTGAGAGAGGGAAACTGATTGTCGTTGAAGGCATTTACAGCATGGAAGGCGATATCGGCGATCTTCCCGGCATCATCGAAGTGGCTCGGAAACATCAGTGCCGTTTGATGGTTGACGATGCGCACGGTGTTGGTGTCCTCGGTCCAACCGGTGCCGGTGCCGCTGAACACTTTGGTGTCGAAAATGACGTTGATTTAATTATGGGAACGTTTAGCAAATCTTTCGCGTGTATCGGTGGATTCATCGCTGCAGAAGCCGCCGTCATTGATTACTTGAAACACCATGCAAACACCTTCCTTTTCAGCGCAAGTATGCCTCCATCAGCGGTCGCAACGGTTCATGCCGCTCTGGAAATCATCAAGGCTGAACCGGAACGACGCAAACGGCTATGGGAAAATGCACGAAAAATGCAGGAAGGTCTCCGATTGATGGGATATGACATCGGAGATACACAACCCCGTTGTTCCGGTGATTGTTGGCGATGATATGAATACCTTTATGTTGTGGAAACACCTATTCGATGCAGGTGTTTTCACCAATCCCGTTGTGAGTCCAGCAGTGCCTCCCGGTGGTTCGCGCCTGCGTACCAGTTATATGGCAAGCCATACCGATGAACAACTCGACTTTGTCCTTGAGAAATTTGATAAAGTGGGCAGGAAGTTGGGGCTGATCTAAAGGTTGGGTTATCTAAAAACAGGAGACTTTTCACGAAATGCGTTCCAGTAGACAATCCCCTGATATTGATGTTACTCCTGTCCAATCCCCAGCCGATCTAAAAGCGTTTATCAACCTGCCGTGGGCAATCTATCGTAACGACCCTCATTGGGTGCCCCCGTTACGCAGCGATCTCAAGAAACGGCTTGATAAATCCCGGTATCCCTTCTTTGACCATGCGGAAGCCGAATTTCTGATCGCCCGACGTGAAGGGCGTGTTGTCGGGCGAATTGTCGCCATTAAAAATGATATCCATATCGACTTTCACGAAGAACAGGTGGGGTTCTTTGGATTCTTTGAGTCCATCGACAATCCGGAAGTCGCAGCGGCACTGTTTTCTCATGCCGCTCAATGGTTGCAGGGACACAAACTTGAAGTGATGCGTCGGTCCCGTGAACTACTCAGACAAATGACGATTGTGGATTGCTTATCGACGCTTTGATTCCGCTCCTATGATTATGATGTCCTACAATCCACCCTACTACCCTAATCTTATTGAAGGTTTCGGTTTCAAGAAGGCAAAAGACCTGCTCGCTTACGAAATAACCGATGAAGTGCAGGTGCCTGAACGTCTTGAGCGAACAGTACAATGGATTAAAAAGCGCAAAAACATCACAATACGTCCCCTCGTCAAAAAACAGATCCATCAGGAAATTCAGCGGGTCAAGAGATCTATAACTCCGCATGGGAGAAAAATTGGGGCTTTATCCAATGACGGACAGAGAATCGATTAGATACACATGGCGCAGGATCTAATCCAGATTATGACCCTGATTTGCTCCTGTTCGCCGAAATTTGAAGGGGAGCCTGTCGCCTTTATCCTTGCGTTACCCGATTTTATGTTGCGTTGAAACACGCCAACGACGCTTGTTTCCAATCGGACTCCTCAAACTTCTCTGGCCACAGCCGTAAAATTGACACACGCGCGGGGTTCTAGCGTTTGGATTAAGACAAATATCGTCAACAGGGAATGACGTCCCTGATGTACTACGAAGTTTATAAAATTGGTGTTGCAAAGGGGTATCGGCGAGGGGAGATGTCGTGGATTTTGGAAGACAATACATTGATGAATCGAGCGGCTGAAAACATGGGTGCGACACTTTATAAACGCTATCGCATCTACGATTATCCACTGTCATAATCCAAGTCGCTAGTTATATGCAGCGCGATAGAATCAATCTCCTATACCCGTAGGTTGGGCATCTTGCCCGACTCTCCTGCTCAGTTTCATACCGGCAGGTAGCCTGTAGGTCGAGATTCATATCTCGACACCCAAATGTCAACAGAACCTGGTGCTCTTCAATGCTGAGGGTCAAATAATTTATTGGGTAGTAAAGCGAAAGGGCTACGTCCAATGGCAGAATCTGACGATGGGATGCCGCACGACAGACGTGCATTCTTCCGGGAAGCATTTACAAGGTTCGTTCAGCCGGTCGCTGAATACTTAGATACGCAGATCGGGACACATCTCCCCGCCGGGAAAGTCCTGTTGCGACCACCGGGTGCACTCCCGGAAGCGGCGTTTTTGGAAACCTGTTTGCGGTGTGGAAACTGTGTCGATAGTTGTCCCGCAGACGCCATTCAACCCTTGCAGAGCGATCAGTCCAATCTGGCAGAGACACCCCTACATCAATCCAGACGATCAGCCCTGCGTTGTCTGTGATTCACTTGAATGTATGCAGGTCTGTCCAAGCGGAGCTTTGCAAAAACTGTCCGTCCATGAAATTCAGATCGGTTTAGCCGAAGTCAATTACAGTGTCTGTCTGCGCTCCAACGGAGTCGATTGCCTCGACTGTGTTGATAGCTGCCCAATTGGCGAAACAGCAATTCGGCTCGACTCCGAAAAACGGGTTGAAGTCCTTTCTACTGGCTGTATCGGATGCGGCGTGTGCCAGTATCAATGCCCAACAACTCCAAAATCTATTGTTGTTCGACCTATTCGGGAATATGCAGAAGCCTAAAAAGATTAGCGGCGTGTGCGAGATTTTTTTGAATGCAAAACTGGTATGACTTGAACTTATCACAAATCGTCACCTTAT